TTTATAAAAATTTCTTACAAGCACGTAACCTATATTGTTTGCTACACTTATTCAATAACTGAATTAGAAAATCTTCCGATTAAACCCATTTATTTCTCATCTCGTTTTGATTATCTCACATTATTTTGAAAATCGAATTTAAATATCGTCAAAAAACTTATCATATTATTTAATTTTTGGTTTGTTTTGACGTTAGTAATAACAGCTGATAAATAGTCATCCTATGTTACTATGTTGATCGCTCCGTACAAGGTACAAATAGAGAAAATAATATTTATGTTTGAATAAAATATTTGTACATATATCTATTATCGTATGATAGAAAAAAACGGCGTCCAGTTGAATGGGAAATGACGATTGACGATTGATGGCATTTCCTATATAAATTTACATATAAAATGGCACCGACCTTCATTTCATGGCCATCGCTGATGCCGTTCCAGTTTTATTTGACTATTTTTCATATCTAACTTTGTTTTTAAAGAACAAATTAAACTCTTTTGAATGATACTAAATTTGTTAAAATCGGCCAAGCTAAGAGTCATGTAGTATATTTTATCCCCATCTTCCACTCTACTTCACTAATTTTATGTGGTTTGTTAAGATCTAAATATATTAATGTGTGTTTGGTAAAGATCTAAATAATATTAATTTCCATCATAAAGAATAAAATATAAAAAGTTGCATAAAAATATAAATAGTAATAATACTTTATAATTTTTTGAAATGCCGAATGAATTTGACTAAATTTGAATAAACCTCTCCTCGTCTATGCTCAAATTTATGCTGGTAACGTACTCTCGACCATCGATCGTGCGACTCCAGTGCGCGGCTACAATCGACTTTCCGACCGGTCGTGCCGCTCGCACCTCTCGCTCTCGCCGATACCCCTTCAGTGCGCGCGGAGCTTTAGGCGGCAGTCAAGCAGCAGAATAAAAAAAATAGCGGAGCGTCCGCGACGGACCGTCCGCTACTTCGAGCAAGTACCATGAGTTTATATGAACAATTTCACATGAGCGCGTATGCTACGTCCGACGGGTATCTTGAAAAAAACACGACGGACGGTCCGCTCCATCTGAAAGCGTTGTACCACTAGCAAATAAAATGTTAAGTTTTTCGGAACCGGTTTTGATTATTTGTCGTGTTACGCATGCGTAGTGGGTCCTTTCTTGGTTGTCTTTCAAATGAATCTCCCACTCTGTTATGTAGCCCGAAAGACGAAATGAATTTATCTCGAATATATTGAAGAGTACCTTAAAATCCTCCAGCCCCTTAGTTTATGCCATCAATATATTACATAGTGATCAAAACAGATCACCCATTTTTAATAGACATGTATTCGATGGCATCTAAAATGTAATGGTAATAAAAGTACTACAAAATCGGTTAAATTTTATAAAAAAAAAACATATTTTTGCGTTTGTAGTTTTTCTGAAAATTAACCGTTTTATTTTATGTGGTTTTATGTCTCATCTGTACCAACAATAAATTAATAGTATGATACTAGCACAGATCAGGTATCCTATAAGTATACAGATAAAAATCTTGTCCCTAATTCGTGGTACGAAAATTGTTTTTTATGACGATGTGCAAACGAGTAAAATTTCCTGTGCACAAAAATAAACTCGCGGAAAATAACAAGAAACAGCGTAATAGAGAGATATCGCTAAACCGAATAGCGTGCATGGACGTTAATAAGGTCAGGTATTATTTCCTTTACGTGAGATGGTATTAACTCTCTTCATTTATAGTTATCGGATCGGAAAGAATTCTGTTCGCGTCGCGTCCGCTATTTAAACTTAACCTAACTTTGAATTTAAAACTTTGAAATTGTTTTGGTTACTAGGTATTTTAAAACTAAAAGGCTAAAGTGCTTATTTCCAGTGCTTTATTGTTCAACGTCTGCCAGTGGGTTTAGGGCAACAAGCAACAAATTCTCTTAGAAGGGCTAAGTCGTCATCTGCTGTAAACCTAAGCCTCTTTATAGGTTCTTTAATATTGGAAGAGGTGGAATCCATATTTAGGGCCATATTTATTTAATTAAAACTAATCCCAGCTACTTAAATATTAAATTACTAATTCAAAACAATTCAAACATAACCTAAAATAAAGATCTCGCCGGCCGGCCCCGGTTGTCAAATACCCGCACATGCCCATTTAAGCAATTTTTAAACGTTATTTAGAAATAGCGCTTGGTAATTGATCCGCAAATTACGTCAGGCGGTAACGTTATTAGCGGGTGTTGCGTTAAAAATTGTCTCGCGCAATCGTAACCATGATAAGGTACGCGTAAATACTGCATGACGCTATTCGGTTTTCCGATATCTCTCTAATAACTGTGCCGGTCAGGCGCTGTGCACAATTTTAGAGGCCATAAGTGAGGGTGCTATGTGCGCAAACTAGTAACCTAACAGTGCCCGATTCCGAAAATTGGAACCACGAAAAATAAAGTTTATAATCTGTATAATATGTGATACTAGTAAGAAAATCGCTAATTGGTAATGCAAGAAAATCAATATTAACGTTTAAAAAAAGGTACTTAAATTGAATTCTGATTGTCTTGACTTGAGGGTAATCATATTGATATAATAAGTCATTTTACTGACTTAGCTTGCAGATCATCATGATTTAAGTCAAAAATATAGACTTAAGTCATAAAAACGACTTAAATAACGTTAATTAATTGATTTAAGTCTTTACAAAAATGACTTGAAATAAAATTATTTAAGTCAAAAGATTCAAGACTTAAATCATTTTAACTTTATGTTGAATTTGACTGAAGACTTTAAGTCTTTTAAAAACTGACTTGTTGCAGCTCTGACTCCTAGACATGTAAACACCAACCCCAAGACATTGAATATAAAAAAAAGACAAAAATGTTTTTCTTTCAATTTCATTTCTTTTATTTCAATAATTAAAATATAGTTTACAACAAGGATAACCGATTGCAAAAAAATATTACAAAAACAAAAAATGGAATCTATTCATCCACGAAATCAGTTAATAACATCATAACCATATGTTACAAAGTAAAATAAATTAATCTTTTAGAATAAAGTTACATAACGCCTTTTCTATAAATACAAGTATGCCGGCCATACAATCATATAATTTTTCAAATGTACCGGGTATTTCAAAAATAAGCTAACAAGTCTTTTTAAGTAGTTTTCTTCATTTAGGAACATCTGAAATCGAGGGGTAAACCGCGAGACCAATGCGGTGTACAACCCCAAACCAATGCGGACCAATTGTGTAGACTAATGGTGCCGATTAAGTGACAATGCTAACAAATCGGGAAAATTGACCAATTTTGCAGAGCCAATGGAACCAATTAAGGGGAAATTGACAAATTTTGCAAAGCCAATGAAGCCAATTAAGAGGAAATTAGGGACCAATTATGAACTAATTATTAAAGGCTAATGTAAAATTATGTTAGTAAAAACTACGCGCTATCGAGTCCGCAAATCTAGCCGAGTCGACGACAGGGTTGCCAGATTGGATCCTTAAACGCCATTTAGGATATTTTTAATGATTAGTTGACGTTAGCACAAGAGAAATAATTATCTATTGAAGTTATTTACAGTGGCGTGTATACGAAATAATGGTTTCCGTTAAATACCTTAAACTTGTAAGGTCCGTTTGATACGAGCAAAAATTATGGCGAAAATCATTAGGTAATTATTTCAAAAATCTGGTCATTAAAATGTTTTGAGGTTAGGTTAGTTGTAGCGTACACAATTTTGGGTCGCGGTTTACCCCTCGTCTGAAATATATGAGTTATTATTAATTTAGTTATTTTATAAATTTAAGTTATAAAATTTGAAAACATTTTTAAAAAGCAAGATGTTATTATTAATTTTGAAAAAATGCTAATTTTTCGTTTTGAGCTTACTTTTGAAGAACACTGGTATGATATAATCAAAACCAATCAGTTTTAATCTGATTGAAGAAAATCAAAACAGATATTCAACAAAAAAAACTAACAGATTTAGACAAAATGAAAATTATAAACTAAACGACTTTTTTTGAAGGCGACATACTTCAGAACTATACAGGGAGATATAATAATAAGTCTTGAGATAATAAGTGAAGCAAAGCTCAGTTTTTAAACGGTATTATTCAAGGACAATAATAATTATATTGAATTTTCATCTATTAAGTCGTTACCATATAATTATTTTTGCTTTTTAAATAGATAACATAGTCTAATATAAATCTTTACAAAATTCACATTCTAAACGTTATGAAGGATATATATATATATTTCGAATGATCTAGGAAAAGTGACTTAAATATCATTTTTTATTAATAAGAAAAATTTTATTTTAATTCATTTATTTAGAATCTGTCTTTTATTTGGGAATAAAATTTTTATGTCAATATAAATTACATATACAGGGTGTCCCAGGCTGAACGTGCATTACAAGTTTCTAGAGAACCACAATATCTAGATCGGAGATTTTTTGCGCATTAGTTTCACAACGAGATCTATCGATTAAAAATATTTTCAATATGGCGGCACTTCCGGAAGTACCGGAAGTTGACAGCAACTTTCTTATTTCAAATGGGTACCCCCATTTATTATTACATACTTAAATTATCTGTAAAATTTTATGAATTTTCGTATAAAATACTCTATATCTAACATTAACCGTTTCTGAGGAAAAAAATATTTAAAATTTTTGGAGGAAAAAATCTCCCTGTCAAAAAAATCTGTATAGCTTAAACGACAAATTTAATGATTACTAAAGCCACTGTGGCATAAAGAAAAAACATGTGTCTATATATTTCAAAAATTAAATTGTTCGAATGTCATATAATATTAGCCATAGCTGTCATGGAATTGAGCGATTAAAAATTTTAAATATTTTTTTTTCTCAAAAACGTTAACATTAGATACAGAGTATTTGATATCAAAATTCATAAAATTTTACAGAGAACTCAAGTATATAATAAAAAATGGGGATATCCATTTAAAATAAGAAAGTTGTTGTCAACTTCCGGTATTTCCGGAAGTGCCGCCATATTGAAAATATTTTTAATCGATAGATCACGTTGTGGAACCGTAAAGTGCATAAAATCTCCGATCTAAATATTGCAGTTCTCTAGAAATTTAAAATGCACTAATGCACGCTTAGCCTGGGACACCCTGTAGACCTCGGCTCAACAGAAATTCCTACAGATTTTCATTTCAAAGGCCACTGTGACGCCGATTCTTTCCGACCGCATGCTATATACATTAATATCTTGAAAAAAAAAAGAATTATTAGAAAAAAATAGCGGAGGACAAAATAAGAAGTACAATGAATAACAAGATAAATAAAGTTTATTTTTATCGTGTGATATTATTTTGTTACACGGTAAAATATCTTAATTAAAGCCTTAAAGAAAACAATTCTTAGGGAAAAAATAGAAAACAGATGGGTGTCACTTTTGTATTCGATTATCGATAAATATATACCCTCATATGCATCACCGTAATATCCTAAAATCTAAGCTACATCGTTGAATCACCGTTTTGCGTTCTACTACTGCTCGAACCGGATTGGTCCATTTGGTTGCTACTAGAGGGCGCAGCCGAGGGCGATCCGAACAACGATCTGAGTACGTTTTGTACGCTGGCAACTGAAACAAAGACAGGACATTGTACAAACGTCAATATGTTTGTACCAATTTGTACAAATTGTGTAAAATTCTCTAAAATGTTTGCGACCTCACAATGAGAGAAAAAATATATTTTTTAAACTACCCAAGTAGCATTTTTAGACACAAATTCGAAACAAAATCTCTGCTGAGAAACATTGCGAAATAGTTTCGTCACATCTTTGATACATGTTTCGCAACATAAAACGCTTTTTGTTTCGAAACATTTTACCAAAATATGGTTTCGCTACATAAGCTATAACAATAAAGATCTTAGTGTCACAAATTTTTCGCAACTTTAAAGAAACAGATGTGCCTCACATTTACCGATTTCGTACTCGTTTTGTGCCTGCGAAAAGTTTCCATAATTTATTTTTTTCCCCTATTTTTGGCCACTTGTCTATTACGATATTCAGCCAGCTTAATTCTTAATTTTTAATTAGCGTTTAAAATCGGCCAAATACAGACTCACACACACATTTAACATCCATGTCCGGGGCCGGATTCGAACCGGCGACCTTGTGTCTACTAGAAAGCGGAGCAATCATTTCGACCATAAGGCCGACCATAATTTATTTATGTGAGGTTCAAGTTAACGTCTCCTTTCTGCTGCAATGGCTAAACTGGACGGGACCTACTTTGTTTAAGCGGAATCCGAACCGCGGTCCTCGGCCATATCATGGTCAATGGCCTACCGACTTAGGAAGTGTCTAAATTAACTCTTACTCACGAGATATCCGATCTCATCCGGCCTCGAACCGGCGTGAATGAGCCAGTGTGTATCAATAGATTTTACACTTTTCCCTTGGACAACAGCACGATGCAAAGTTTCGAACCGGTCACCTGTCCTTAAAACTAGCATCGCCTTACGTCGCTTAATTTCGGTGTTCTAATGGGAACCTAAAATTCCGCCATGTTGGCTAGTGATAGCGATTTTAACTAAAAATATATTTTTTTATATTTTGAGCTTCATTAAGAACTCATTCATAAGAACGCGTTCTACTTACATTGATTTATATATTTTTATTTTCAGAACCATGATAGAAATAAAAATAAAAATCTATATTTCAAACAAAAATATTTTGTAGCAACAAATAATGATATATAGAAGAGGCATTAAAAATATGAAAGTACATTATTAAATTAAATGATGAATTTGCTTTTGCCAGACATTTTTTGTGCGAGAGACATTTTTTGTGCGAGAAGACATAAAAACAAGAATTTTGAGACAAAAAAAAATATGGCGGAGGTGGACATTGTTGATGGTGGACATGATTGAAATCCACACACAGACATATAGTATTTTAGTATGGTATTTTGTTTCTTCATATTTAGAAACAGTGGCTGCTGAAAAAGGGGATATCGTGGGCGTACAGCGAAAATCCACTAAGTCACATTTTTGGTTGAATTGGATTAAACACACCACTATGTCCAGTTTTTCACGGTCTTTAACATGAAAACCCCATTAAATCGGCAACCTTATATTATAAGGATGCCGAAATTGGATTTGAGTCTACAGCACTCATAAAAATCTGGTACGACAACTTGTAATTCCTGGTCTAGTGGTCTATCATAACATAAACTTTGAAAATGGGACAGGGTAGACACAGGTTTCAGTTAATTTACTTGTTTATCGATGTAGAGAAATCTCGCGACAAGCTTTTATATAATATAAAATTGTGTAATGACGTTATAAGTTCATAATAAAAGTTTTAAAGAAAAAGTTTATTTTTTTCTTTTTAGTGTATTTAAATAAAAGCTTGTTTTTGAAAAAGTTTTTTTTTAAAATGTATTTTCTACTTTTTAGTTATGCTGGTTTCTCAGTGCCACACACTTAAATTCATTTTTTTTAAATAACTTCCTATGGGCATCCTAATAATAGGTATGTATATCGATTTTCATTAAAAAAGGAGAACTTAAAAAAAAACGACAGCTGTCAAATTTGACAGTTCAAATGTGAGACAAATAAAATGAAAACCGACTAATGGGGTAGGGGGCATCCAATATATCGATTTTTACCAAAATCGGACAACTTTGAATTTTTTTTGACAGCTGTCAAATTTGACATCTCAAATTTTTTTTCTTTTATTTTAGCCCATGGCCATCCTATATATCGATTTTTATCAAAATCGGACAATTTTGAATTTTTTTGACAGCTGTAAAATTTGACAGCTCAACATTTTTTTTCTTTCATTTTAGCCCATGCCCATCATATATATCGATTTTTATCAAAATCGGTTGACTATGAAATTTTGACATGTCATTAAACTGTCATTTTTTCAAGATGGCCGCCCATATATTTTTTTCATATGTATATACCCACAATATACCTTATATATAAAATTTCAGCCCGATCCATTCATAAATGGAATTTTAAAAAATCAAAAACCTCAAAAATGCCGCCATTTTGACAGCTGTCAAAAATTCGAGTCATGCTTTGCAAAAAAATGTATTGTCATCGGGACTGAACCTACATACCAAATTTCAATTTCCTATAATAAAAGGAAGCGGTTCTAATTTAGCTTACAAGATTTGCCCCGAACAAACATACATACATACATAGATAGTTACATACAAAGCAAGTTAAATAAAAGCTTATAAAAAAGCACATACCTTGTCCTCTAGCATCAATGTTTGCAATATCTTCTCTGGCTTGGTTGAATTCATTCTGACTAGATCCCTCTCCATCACCGCCCAAGTTTTGCCTGCATATCGGGCAGGTTCCATGAAGCTCCAGCCAAGGTCTTATGCAGTTCTCGTGGTATATATGAGTGCACGGCAATTGTCTGGAATATTAACCGATATTTTTTTATAAAATACCCTACAAAAATTATTAATCTTTTAATAAAAAGATTAAGGAAGGGGCATATCAAAAATATTAGATCGAACGCGACGGACGGGCTCCATAGACAAACAAACGAGCTCCTAAAATGGCCGACTCGAATTCCGGTTTATCAGTGCCCTTCTAATTTTATTCAAAACGTGTGAAAATATGATGTAGGGTAGACTCAATAATGTGTTGTTTTATTTTATGTTGTCAATAAATGTTGGTAATTATTATAATAGTAGGTCTGGTCCACTTTAGGTACGTCAAAATTTTAAAATTTTCTATACAGAATTGAGAAGAGGAACACTTATAATGACATTTTCTAACAAAAAAAGTGCGGATCGTCCATAAATAACCCAAAAAAAGAATGTTGTAAGCAATGCAATCAAAACTCAGTTACGGCGGACGTTTTTACCATTGTGATCCTCTTCTCAACTTTTAACACAGATCAAAATATAATATATATTCTTATCAGCTTAATATCGCTACCGCTATTTTTCAAAATTAATAGGAAAGTACCGTATGATCGAATAAAAACGGCGTCCAGTTGGCTTGGAAATGACAATCGATGGCATTTCCTATATAAATTTACATACAAAATGACAGCGATCTTCATTTCATAGCCATCGCTGACGCCGTTTTTATTCGATCATACGGTATAAATAAAACAAAATTCCGATTTTCAATATTTCATTGTTACCGCCAGCGATATACGCAGACGCGAGCAAAAGACAAATAAACCTAAATCTGCGTCTTCCTTGTCACTCTTATTAAACTTAATAAGGAAATATATATTCTAACCTCAAAAAATAAATTATTTTATTGCAGAAATCTCAAACATTTAGCCGAGTATCCGTACGATCCGTACTTAAAACGTTAAAACATTAATTGTAGAATATATTAATATCAAATTTACATCAATAACTTCAAGATTGACGACGTACCTAAAGTGGACCATCACCAAAATAGTTATAAAAATATATAATTCTAATAAAACTAGATAAGTTATAATAATTATTTATTAACACAAACATTCGATACGCTACTGAAGCAGGTAAGTCAAACTGACGCGACGTATCTAAATTCTTTGAATCTAATCTTTGACAAGTAGTAAATAAAAGCAAAAATGCAAGAAAAAATATATAATTAGTTAATTTTAAGTGAATTTCATATATGATCGGTTTACAACACGTATGTATACATATAGTCACTTACTAGCGAAAATTATTCCATTATTTCCCTTGATTTTTAACCGAGATCTACCGCACGCTATACAACCAAGTATTTTAGTCTTTTTCGATAAATAGCAATAGTGTCACTGTTAATTTAAGTTCTGCCACAATTTCCTTCTAGATTTACTACCTTTAAACAACTATCAATAGTAGAATAAATAATAAATAATATAAAATAAGCCCAGTAAAGCCTGCAAACCCATAAAATTTCAAATGTGTCAAATGAATCATCAAACATGACTCTCTCCGTCTACCAAGCATAAATATATGGATAACATTATACTCCTTTCTTAATCTTTTTATCCAAAGCTATTAATAAACATTCTAACCTAACTTGTTCCTTTAATTGAAAATGCTCCCAGCATACAGAGCACTGCATGTTTTGTCCAACTTGTTCATCGGTCACTTCAACAACTTGCAGAGCGTCTATAACAGCCTTTGATAATGGTGGAGGGCCTACATTAAAATACAATACCGTTTAAACCTTGAGATGGCGATTCCTTGTTTACAATAAAGGGTAGTTTTTTATACAGGGTTATTCACCACATACGACACGGACTATTGTAGCTAAACGATTAGATTTTTACAATTTGCAAGTTTTGGGTTCGTTGAAGGACTATTGTCCAAGGAGGACAGTGTTCCAAATAAATAAAAAATGTTGTATTTTTTAAACGGAAGACCCTGTATATTATTTTATTTTTATATTCTACAATTTAAATAAAGGTAAATTTGATTAAGGTTTATCACACTTAAGCTACACGCACACTGGTGCGATCACGATCACGATCAGGGCAGCGATAACATGAGCGATCATTTTGGCACACACCAACGCGTTCACGTTTACCGCCGCGCCGTACCTATATGTAGTGAGCTATCCTGTAGGCATACATAGGTACAAATTAAAAATGTGAATTATGTATACCGAAAAAAAAAACATTCTGAAATATTTACCTATAATATTTAAACTTAAACAAATAAAAATGTATACATATGTACCGTATGATCGAATAAAAACGGCGTCAGCGATGGCTATGAAATGAAGATCGCTGTCATTTTATATGTAAAATTATATGGGGAATGTCAACGATGTTCATTTCCAAGCCAACTGGACGCCGTTTTTTTTCGATCATACGGTACTATCCGATCCAATTGCAAGTCCAACTTTGTCTAAAACTTTTTATTTTTAATTCTATTATTTTTGTAACTTGGATGGGATACATCATATAGGATTTTGTGTATTTTTACAGTTTTAATTAGCTGCTCTGTTAACTCCATCTCTAAATTGCAACAAGAAAAAACACAAAAATAACGGAAAATTCCTATTAGTTGGGACGCGATCACGTGATCAAACTCGACAAGTTGAATCTGATCGCCACCGCAGAATAATCGCGCCAATGTGAAACGGCTCATATGTATCCTTCAGCAACTTTTGGCCGCGGCCGCGTGGAGATCGTGATCGCAGCCGTGATCGCACCAGTGTGGGTACAGCTTTAAACCTTACCGTTTTTGAAATATATTCAATTTTGTGAAATTGTAGTAAAAATTGTAATGCTTCATTTCTCCAAGGGTATGAAAGTTTTTAATGCTAAATATTTAGTGAAGATTATTTATTGATCAGATATTGTGTTGTAATAATAAAAACAATACACTACCTTATACAGAGTATCTAAAAAATTAATTTAAATAACTGCTAGCTTTAAATGGCAATAACTTGTTTAATTTAAATGGAACACCCCGTATATTTTACGAGAATCAAATGCACAATGTAATTATCTATCATGTTGTGATTATCTATCATACTAGTGTTTACCTATCTAGTTTTCGTCGAAAACCTTCAAGTCTTCAAGTCTACCTTCAAGTTTTCGTAGAAAATGCATTTTTTTATAATTTAGACCTCATTTATCATATACCTATGTAATAATGACATTTTATAGATTTTTTTAAAGCAAAAAAGGAACAAAATGTACAGGTGCTAAAAACGATAATATTGCAAGCCCATTTGTTTATAAAAATAAAACTATTTAAATCTTTGTAAAAGAGTATATCAATTAAATATACCACCATTATTTTTGCCCAAAAATTAGTGGATTATAATAAGTTATGAAAATGAACGTCTCTGTTGTTATAAATAAACATTTATCAAAAAATTAAATAAAATTTATAAGGTGTTACTTTTTATCACACTATCTAATACACATACAAAATTCAGTTTTTTAGAACTTGGTTTAGTACCTCTTAGTTTAAACAATAGGATCATATATTAATTGGTGTTCTTTAACAAAAAATATTTAAACAGTTTTTTTTTATTTTTTTAATGAAATAAGCGAATTATATCGACAATGTTAGTATCTGGTACTCTTTTGTTTATTTTTTACATTATTTATATTTTGTTTTTCTACTTGGGTTGTTCTTAACTTGTTGAATAATAAACTATTATTTATTTAATTATTTAACTAAAAAGGGTAGAGTTATCTCTATCCAACAAGGGCGTGTGCAATATGCAATAAAATTATTTTGTTTTCCTACGCCAACGGTAGTCATTATTTTAATATAGAAGACCACAAATATTAAATTAATATTGATTATTACAACACACTACCGTGTATTAACAGTATTTTTGTGTATTGGCAACATTAATAGTAAATAATGTAATGTAATAAACCACTTAAATTATAACAAAATTGTAGGGTAGGCGCCGCCTACCTTGCCTACCCTGAAGAGCAGCCACTGATATTCACGTAAAATGTGATAATATTGCATAATTTAAACTAAAAATTGGCAAAGTAGAAACTACTCTATAAGTTTACTTATTTCGCTGACAAATATTTTTAACACACTGAATTGTAACTTATCTTGGCAATAAAAACACACAATTACTATTATATTATGAAAAAAAAAAATTTTATGTAAATAATGTGTGTAACTCATATTACCTGTACTGTCCATTTGATTCAATAACTGAGTGACTATCGCATCGAGGCCTTCTCTGCCCCATGCATAATCTCCTGGATTGCCTAGAAAGAACTGCACATTGCCTTGGCCACCCCAATTCACCCCCACACCCAAATTTATAATAAAATCATGTACTAGATGCTCTATGGGCAAAGAATGTCGTAGATTAGCAGATAGTGGATGAAACGAGCCTCTAAAAATTTAAAAAATATTAAGATCTAGAATTAAAACGGTTTCTTTCGACTTTTTTCATTACCTTCCTTCTGAAGGACCTCCATTCTCAGTTCTATTGTCCATTAAACGATCAGCAAGCAATAATTCTTCCTAAAGGTGAATATGGTTAGTAAACATTAGTTATAATTTTATTGTTTTTTTATACCATATCTTCATCGTCCCATGTACTATTAGATGAGAAATCTCTTGCCCTCGATTGTTGATCGTCAGTGTCTTGAAGCTCTTCTATGAACCCATCTGCACAGTGTGGGCATATGCAATTCTAAAAAAAAATTGAATACGACAAAAACATAATTTGGTATAAAACCATTTGATTTAAAGGAAAACATAGGGTTCGTGATTTTAGATACACTAAATGCATTTAGGCTGGGCATTAGAACACGTATTTGATAACAGAATAACATACTTAACAATCAAAAAAATATTTATAGCAACAAAAAACTTGCTGCAGACTTACAGAGGCCACACTTTGGAACTCGACATCGCACATGTGGCAGTAGAATCGTGCCAAGGGTCGTTCTTCTACTGCGGCTTCGGCCATAACGTTTATTAAAAAGTTTAAATCTTTGAAAAACTTGAAATTTTTACGAAAAATCGGTGTTTTGCTCAGAAGTGACAGCGATGACAGTTTACCAATTTCCATTGATTCGATATAGATTCGATATGAAGTTAGTCGATAGATGTTGGCAATAAGAAAAGACGTACGGCGCATGAGCCTTTGTTCATAAGTTATTTTTTTATTTCCGTATTATTTCTTTGTTTTAATTATTATAATTTGCTTTTATTATTATTTAAAAATATGTATGATGACCAGACAAAATTTGTAGAACACATAAGATTAAGATTCATTATTGTTCGTATTTCTTGTAAATATTATCGTACTTAATGAAATTAATTACGTATTCCATTTTTAATTAAGTGTTTTTATTGATAAAAAAATATGTAAAATGATATATGGGTATAAATAACTGGGAATAAGTAAATTAAAAATATCCAATTTCACAAATCAGATAAGGGAATACAATTATTCCAATCCTAATAGTTAGGAAATAGTAACAATTAAAAAATTATCAGGACAAAGATAAGTATTTTATCCACGCCAACAAATTAATAATAGCTTCGATAAAAACGCTGGGGGTATAATAACTTCTAACTCTGCTATTAATAACTGCTTTAAAGAAAATATAGATTATCCCCTTTTAGATCTTGTAAGTTTATAAGATCTAAAAGATTATACTTTACATTTTTTATTTAGGGTAGAAATGAAAATTTAGTCAGAAATAATATGAAAATAAAAGGCGTAATTGTATGTTGAAAAGAGAAATATAAATTTTCTTCTTTTTAATAGGTTTGTTCTATTTTTACATTTTTTTACGTGTATTTTCCGCCAAAACGTAAAACACTTGAAAAAGAAGTGGCTATAATATCGATATGTCGTCATCATCTCTAGTTGAAGTTTGTTGACATTTTAAATGTCGTTGGCATTCTATTTTAAATGTCAAAAATGATACCCAAGTTAAATAATTTAATAATGTAATTTGAATTTTTTGAAAAGCTTATTTTAAGTACATCAACATAGGAAGTTTACTTACTTGTTTTCATAATGATCTTGTATGTTATTAGTGGATTATGAGTTCAGGATATTACTCATACGGTAGGTTGAATCAATATTAAAATGTTTTTACCACACCTTCAGAACAGGAAATGCTTCGGAATGTTGAAGATTTACTAAGATATTTCCTACAAAGATTAGTTAAAATAATATGTGAAATATTTAAGGTAAAGAACCAGGCATTGTAAGTGACTGTGACACCATGGCAGAACTAGCAGCCCTATTGCGGTCAGAAATACCTGAAGGAAGAAGCAGTCTCTCTGAAAATCATGTCAACTTACAACGCGTTGCCGAATATTGCGAAGCGAACTACTTTCAGACTGACAATAAGAGAGGAGCTTTGGAGGAAACCAAGAATTACACTACACAGTCCCTTGCCAGCGTAGCTTATCAAATAAACACACTGGCATACAACTTTTTACAATTGCTTGATATGCAGGTATATTAACAACTTATATGCATAAAAAAGGCTTTGTTAAAGAAGTGCATAGGTTAATGAACTTAAAATTAATTTCAGACAACACAATTGGCAGAAATGGAAAGTCAAATGAACCACATTTCTCAGACGGTTATGATTCACAAAGAAAAAGTTGCCAGAAGGGAAATTGGTGTTTTAACAGCCAACAAGAGCACTAATAGACAGTATAAAATTATTGCGCCAGCAAATCCAGAAAAACCAATAAAATATATGAGAAAACCCATTGATTATACCAGTGAGTATTAAATAGTAAATGAAGGGTAAGGGGAAAAACAGATGATGTCACAAAACTGACTTTTACAGAGAAAACTAATTTAATGTTGTTAACTATTATATTAAAGACAAAACATTATTACTGTGTACTTTATTATTTAGACATTGTTTGTTATATTCAATTACAATTTACCATGTGTTTGGCAGTTTGGTACTTGGCATTCTCAACAGATTAAGCTGATTTCTAAAAAATTCATATAAAATGGAGAATATATTTAAGATAAAATAAAAAAACACAGGTTGTTAGGAAAAACCTAAACTGGACACAAAAATGGAAAGATGGTATTAACAAATATCTTTGAACTTCTCTAGATTTTCATATTTCTCTGCGATTAAAATTAAATAATTGATAATTTTTATTTTTAAATCAGTTATTGATGAAATTGTTATGGTCAGTAAATACATAATTACAGATTACGGCTTCAGAGGAATAGGTCCAAGTATATTTTTGTTAATATTTGTCCATTTTTGTTTCCAATTAGGTTTTTCTTAACAATGTATTGGTTTTTATCTTATATATAATGAAATTATAATTGACTAGAAGCCAATGTTGATTAATGTTTATGATGTAAAAAAATCCCAGAGAAATAAGTAAACATAGATTAGGTACCTCTATTTTTACTTATTTCTCTAGGATTTCCTTAACAAGGTATTGGTTTTTATCTTGTATATAGTGAAATTATAATTGACTAGAAGCCATTTATGTGATTTAATGTTTGTGTTGTAAAAAAATCCCAGAAAAATAAGTAAACATAGAGTAGGTACCTCTATTTTTATTTATTTATCTGAAATTAAAAACGAATAATTAATATGTATTTTTCAAACAGTTTTTGACGAAATTGGTCATGGTGTGCGTAGTGGCGGCACTCCCAGACAAAAACAGAGAGGTTCAAGCTCAGGAAGTATACACTCAGTTAACTCCATACCGGGGAACCCCATGGTAGGTCCCGCTCCGACTACAAAGCCACCTACACCACCACAAGTATCAAGAACTTCCAGTAAAGGTAGTAAAACCGTATTTATAGTGTATATCTAATAATTAAGTACTTTCTTTTAGTTTCAGTTTCTGGAGGGACTCTGTCTAAAGGGAGCAGGGAATACAGGACACCTCCTGCAGTGGCTCCTCCCCAGGTTCCAAGTCATTACGCTCCGAATTATCCTATGGGACATCCGAGAAGAGAAAGGGGGCCAGGTTATAGTGCTTTGCCTATAGCCAATGTGCAACAGCCTCAGGTGAAAGATTTTTTATTGATACAGTGACTTAAATATTAGATATACCGTTTGTTTTTAGGTTGGGATGGTACACCCAATGACGCAACAGAATCACAACGTTGTTCAACCTCAAACGCCTCCCCCGCCACCCCCACCAAATTCGCACAGTAATTATGGAGGTGATGTGCACAATATGCCCCGTAAGTTGAATTTTACGAGTGAATTTGTTTATGTAAATAATTTGTCGTTTTATAAACGTTTAGCATTAAATTTAGGTAGCCTATCTTTTCATCATTTTAAATTTATACGAAATTTTTCTAGTAGGGATGTCCAGAAATATCGACATATCGAAATATCGATATACATCGCCAATATATTATTTATTTATGCCTATCTACGATAATAGCCTTTGAATAAGAAGACTAAGGAAGGAGCATAATGCTATCAATGTATTCATGCATGGTGGGTGGAAAAGGCACCATAAAAGCTCTCTAGGGTGGGGATCCTTGACAGTTCTGTTTGACGATTCATTTGACACATTTGAATTTGATTTGAAATTTTGTGGATTTGTCAGTCTTTACGGAGCTTATTTTATGTTATTTATTAGTTATTCTACTACTGATAGTTGTATAAAGGTAGTAAATCTAGATGGAAATTGTGGCAGAACTTAAATTAACAGTGACACTATCGCGATTTATCGAAAAAGACTCTAAAATAGTTGGTTGAGTAGCGTGCGGTAGATCTCGGCAAAAATTGAGTGAAATAATGAAACAACTTTTCGCTAGTAAGTGACTATATAATATACATACGTGTAGTAAACCGATCATTTATGAAATTCACTTAAATTAACTAAATTATATATTTTTCTTGTATTTTAGCTTTTATTTATTACTTGTCAAAGATTAGATGTCAAAGTATTTAGATACGTTAATTTGACCTGCTTCAGTAGCGTATCGGATGTTTGTGTTAATAAATACTTATTATAACTTATCTATTTTTATTAGAATTATATATTTTTATAACAATTTTAATAACTACCAACATTTATTCACAACGTAAAATAAAACAACAAATTATTGAGTCTACCCCACGTCTACCCTACATCATAGTTTTACATTTTTTAAATAAAATTAGAACGACACTGATAAACCGGAATTTAAGTCGGCCATATTTGAGGCCCATCGCGGTGTACCTAAGATTTTTGATATGCTCCTTCCTTAGTCTTCTTATTCAAAGATAATAGCAAAATAATTTCCAATGCACTTGATCAACTTTGAGTGACAAGCGATGGCGACAGCGCGGCCATATTGTGATGGATTTCTGAGATGAATATTAATTTAAAATTGACAAATACTTATATTTATTATGGAATTTTTTAAAGATTTTTATGTTTTATTTTTAATTTAATAACTAATATTTTAGTAATTAATTGATTTATTTGTTTTATAGCTTATTTTACTTATTATATATTGGCAAAAACTAGTCCATTATGAAGACTATTCTAAGCGTTATTATGGGTTATTTATTTATTTTTTATTGATGTACATCTTACAAGGCCATAAGTGGTAATAAGAACTAAGAGGTTGCTATTAATATACAAACTAATAATCATAGAATTTAATAAAAAATAACGTAGAAATAACTTTGAAAGTGGTATAACGGTGCTTATCAATCAAACTTACTTTTCTGACTGCAGTTAAAGGTAATAAAGGATCTTTAATATCACGTTCTCGTTTAAAATAGTTTATCAAGGAAACTACAAACTCTTTGCTTCGACTGTTTAAATGCTTTAACATATTTTCAACACAATTTCAACAAATGCAATACAAAACTCAAAAATTTAGTTCTTTCTCAAAAGAATTGTTTGTGCTTAAAGGAACAATTTAAAAAAAAGACTACGGAAATAAACCAAAAAAAAACGAGAATTACTCACAAAGATTCAACAACACGATATTATACAAAATAATGACTGACATTAATATAATTGTCAAATAATAAACGACAACGTTGCTGAACACGGCGCAATGTGACCAACATAGCGATAATAAAATTCGGCTTAAACTAATTTTTGCCGCTTTAATCTAAATAAAATATCTGTTACTATCATTTGCTCTACAAAGTAAAATGAAGAGCTGCTCGGTAACCTAAATTATACAACAAAATTAAACATTTTTGCCAAAATTTCATTTTGTCAGGTTTATAGACTTTAGTGTCAATGTCGATATGATTGATGACGTGCATCGGAAAATGTTTTGCGATTACCGTATATATTTAAATTTGAATTGAAGTATGAATTATTAGATATATGTATGTAACATCTTTTGCACTCATTTATCGACACGATTTGTACCAATATTATTTTATCTTCCAATACATATCTCTAGTATCTACTAGTGATGGGATAACTATACAGGGTTGTTCACCACATACGACACGGAGTATTGTAGCTAAACGATTAGATTTTTACAAATTGTAAGTTTTGGGTTCGTTGAAGGACTATTAGAGCTACAATTTAAAATATTTTTACAAGGTACAGAGTGTCCCAAATAAGTGAAAAATATTATAGTTGTATTTTTTTAAATGGAACACCCTGTATATTATTCTATTTTTGTATTCTACGATTGAAATAAAGGTAAATTTGATTAAGGTTTGTCACACTTAAAACTTACCGTTTTTGAAATATTTTCAATTTTATGAAATTGCAGTAAAAATTTGGAGGCTTCATTTCTCCAAGGGTATCAAAGTTTTTGATACTAAATATTTACTGAAGATTATTTATTGATCAGATATTATGTAGCATTAATAAAATTTTTACTACCTTATACAGAGTGTCCAAAAATTTATATTAAATAATTACTAGCTTTTAAACGACAATAACTTTTTAATTTAAATGGAACACTCTATATATTTTAGGAGAATTAGATGTACAATTTAATTGTCTATCAAATTATGTTATACCATTTTTTACATATCTCTTCAAGTTTTCGTAGAAAATGCATTTTCTTATAATTTAGACCTCATTTATCACTATACCCATGGAATATTGACATTTTAGATTATTTTTAAAGATGTAACAAATTTTCAGAGTACAGACACCAATATTGTCGATATAGTTCGCTTATTTGCTTATTTCATTAAAAAATAAAATAAAAAACTGTTTAAATATTTTTTATTAAAGAGGACCAATTAATATGATGATCCCAGTATTTAAGCTACATTAATTGACTGTTTACGTTGATTAATAATAATTGCTCCAAAACTGAAAAAATGAATTTTGTGTGTGTATTAGACACAGTGGTAAAAAGTAATACTTTATAAATTTGATTTGATTTTTTGACGAATGCTAATTTATAAAAACAGAGACGTTCATTTTCAAAACTTATTATTATATTGATTTCTGAGCCAAATCCACATTTATTTATAATACTTTATTAATTAAAACAATTTAAAAGTATGCAATTAACTAATTTTTGGTGGGAAATAATGGTAGTATATTTAATTGGTATACTCTTTTACGAAGATTTAAATAGTTTTTTGTATACCAATAGCCTTGCAATATTTACCACTTGTATATTTTGTACATACATATGTTGCTTTAAAAAAAACTGAAATGTCAATATTCCATGGGTATAATGATAAATGAGGTCTAAATTATAAGAAAATGCATTTTCTACGAAAACTTGAAGAGATAGGTAAGAAATGGTATAATATAATTTGATAGACAATTAAATTGTACATCTAATTCTCCTAAAATATATAGGGTGTTCCATTTAAATTAAACAAGTTATTGTCGTTTAAAGCTAGTAATTATTTAATATAAATTTTTGGATACTCTGTATAAGGTAGTAAAAATTTTATTATTGCTACATAACATCTGATCAATAAATAACCTTCAGTAAATATTTTGTATTAAAAACTTTGATACCCTTGGAGAAATGAAGCCTCAAATTTTTTACTGCAATTTCATAAAATTGAAAATATTTAAAAAACGGTAAGTTTTAAGTGTGACAAACCTTAATCAAATTTACCTTTATTTCAATCGTAGAATACTAAAATATAATAATATACAGGGTGTTCCATTTAAAAAAATACAACTATAATATTTTTTACTTATTTGGGACACTCTGTATCTTGTAAAAATATTTTTAAATTGTAGCTCTAATAGTCCTTCAACGAATCCAAAACTTACAATTTGTAAAAATCTAATCGTTTAGCTACAATATTTCGTGTCGTATGTGGTGAACAACCCTGTATATGGGAAAATTCGCTCGAGTACTCGATTATTGAAATAACCGACATCGCTCGATTATGAACGAATGATGCAAGTGACGACTTACGAGCGACGAACGCAAGCGATCCTAGAATGAAATAAATTGAAATCATTGATTTTAATTTAAAGTAATTTTAAATTTTATTTTTAATTTAAAATTTAAAGAAATGATTTTAATCTGACATACTCGATAAAAAGTCGAACGAATTTTCTACATACATTGCAGGTAGCAAATTTATACGACGTTATCCGTTGCGTATCTGAGGGACATTTTACGACTTACATCGACAATGGTTTGAAATAAACTAAATCAAGCGAATCGCTCATCGCTTGCTACTTCCCATTCATCAAAGAAAGAATATGTGCCCTGCGCACGCAACTTACTGCTTGGCGCTTGGTGTTAACGAGCACTTACTTACAACCAACGACGGACGAAAAACCGTATTTTTAAATACGAGCGATATTTCGCTCGAGCGATCGTTCGGTTATTGCAATCGATTGAAACTCGAGTACTCGATTATTGAAATTAATCGGTTTTTCCCATCACTAGTATCTACTATTATATCTTTTTTTCCGTTAGCTCCACCCTCGCCTTTAATAAATTCTCAAGAAATGGTATTGAGTTCGAACCAGCATCACCCAATGATGATGGGAGGTCATCATGGGCCTGTGCCAGTTGGAAGTTTGGGAATGCATACTCTATCTCATGCACAAGGGCATAGAATGAGCCAAGCATTGCAGCAGCAATTGGTAAGTTTGTGTGTAAATCTTTGCAGAAACAGCGTTGAACCTATTTTTGTTTTATCATTAAAATTCCTGAAAAATGGAGAATTTACATACGTTCAGAAACACTCAATTCAGAGTTGGCAGAGTTTTCCCTGAATTTGAAGAAAAACGACTTAGGCATCTCCATTGTCAGCTGGTAAAATCAGTAATATTTCCTTAATTTAGGGAAATACATTCAACTTTGGTATAATTTGACTTAATGGTGTAAATTTTAACTGTTTATGTTTTGAATCCGCGTATACATTACTACGGTAACTTAAAGAAAAGTTGCCGTTTATTAAGAACGTTAACTTCAAATAGGTACTTTACTTTGATCAATGTTTCTATAAATAGTCCAAGAAAATAGGCCTTTAAATACCAAGTTTTGGTAAAAACTTGAATTTTTGATATAACATTTGATAAATATTTGTTACTTTGAAAGATCTAAAAATTGTGAAAGATTTTTTTAAATTCACCCCCGAGAAGGGGTGAGATAAATGAATAAAATATTTTTTTGAAATATCGGAGGAACGGTAAGAACTAGAAAAAAAAGTTCAAATAATAGTTGTGGAGCGTCAAATTTTACATAGAAATGAGCTCTATACTTTTTTTGATCAGATCAAAATTAACCAAGATAGGGTGGCTAGAAGCTAGGGGATGATAGTAGAAATTTAAAAAAATATAAGTTGCCGAAAAATTAATATATTTAACATTTTTATTCAATTTGTTTGGAAAATTATAAATTTCAATTAAGATTTTTTTAAATTCACCCCGAGTATATAAATAATAATATATAAAATATACTAAGTGACATTGAAAATAGAACACCCACTAAATATTATTTAATTTTAATGAATGTTTGTAAGCACGTTTATTATTGTATGGATAAGAAATGAATATAATTTGAACGCCGTCAGCACACTAGTTTTTGTGCTATACATGTTTTTGTTAAAATTCCAGTCATCCAATATAGACCCGGCTTTCGCACAGTTTGTTACTTATTCTGCTACAGAGTAGTTTCAGGTGTTTTTCTGAGTTTATTATAATGCCTAGAATACTAAATTTGAAAAATGCTTATATTAGACCTATTTTTAAAAAAGGTGAAAAAGATGAAATGAAAAACTATAGACCCATATCTCTGTTAACTGGTATTAGTAAAGTTTTTGAATATGTTATACATATTAGGCTAACAAATTTCTTAGACAGGAATGCAGTATTATCTGATCAGCAGTATGGTTTCAGGAAGGGAATGTCAACAATTCAGGGTTTGTATTAGTAGTGGGAACTATCGAATGAATACTATCAAAACATTCGATAGTTGCAATTCATTCGAATAATTCGATAGCTAGTAAAAAAAACATTCGTTGAAAACTATTCGAATAAAAATTATCGAATAGATGCGTCATCTGCCTTGAAATATTGTATTCTAGTAATTCGGCAGCAAAAACCATTCATTTATAAAATTCATTCATTTATGAAATTCATTTATTCGTCAGGATCGATTATAATAAAATATTAACTGGATTTTAGTGGTCGCCCGGCGACGTAGGTTTCTTTCCGAGAAACCCGACAGCGGTCGGTGGCAATGCTATGAAAAAAGCCGGCATCTTTGATTTTTTGCGGAGTCATATAAAGATAAGGACACATTTTTTTTAATTGAGGTGCTAGTATTTACACAGAAAATACATTATGAAGGGCGCTGTTGCTATATATTGGTATTAGTTGATATTAGGAAAGAATATTATTGTTTGGCTTTAGTTAGTTAGGGATAGTATGTCTATATATTTTGCATTTTTTTTTATTAATATTCTGTTGTTACACTGCAATAATACTTGTTATTTTGGATGTAGGAAAATGATTTTTAATGTTTTTAAGCAAAGACTGGTTTAATAAAAATAATAATAACAGTAATAATTTGTTATACCTATTAACAACAAAATTTAAAATAATTTAATATAAATTATTTAATAAAAAAATATAAACATTTATTAATTTTCTAAGCATGCAGTGTAATGGAAGGAAAATATAAATAAAAAATTAGAAATCAAAATTATTTATATTAGGTACTTTATATTTACTATTTAAAAATAATATTTACTTTTACTGGCATTTACTTTAAAAAATAAATGAAATATTTCTTCGCAAAAAACTACATGTAAGAGAATTAGCATAAACAAAATACAAACATCGTTAACTTTTTTTTTAAATTGGCACGTGTAAAACTTTCAATTTAATTTTCTCATCCCATAGTTTGAGTTCGATAACCCCATTTACTTAACCACATTACTTAAATATGATTATTAAGTTCAACAAATTCATATTATTTAAACATCTAAAATACAAATATGTTCATCTCATCTCTCTTAAAAATTGCTACTTCTCAAAATTTCCCATTAAAAAATAGACCATATATACCATATAAAATAAAATAATTGAAAGATCGGGCTACGGAAAATCACACAAATTTTCGGAAAAATTTTGACACCTGCACACGCACACAATCGTCAATTAAAAAAAACTACTATATTTTAGTATTTTAAATATTTTAATAAACCCAAAATTGGCACAGTATTTATAAGGTGAAGTTATAAAAATTTGGAAGAACTAATAATGCACTGACGCACACAAAAATCAAACGAATACTAAATTTCATTTATCAAAAGCATTCGATAGTCGTGGCTCAACGATAACCATTTAGTTGCACGGCGAGGTTGTCACATATGCTTTAGTATACAAATGAATGAATGATTTTATTCGAACAAAACCATTCGATAGTTGAAATCATTCATTCAGTAACCATTCGATAGGGTAATTCATTCGATAGTTCCCATCGCTAGTTTGTATCAAGCGCTCTCTTTTGCCATTGACTCGCTTAACAATAAGAATCAGACACTTGTAATATGCCTGGACCTTTCCAGAGTTTTCGACAGTGTAGATCACAATATTTTGCTGAATAGGTTGGATGGGTATGGTATTCGAGGAAGGGCTTTAGAACTGATAAAGTCATACTTGTGTGGGCGAACACAGCAGGTTATTGACTTTGATTTGAATGGCAGAAAAATAGTTTCTAACAAGGTAATCATTGAAAAGGGGGTACCGCAAGGTTCAATATTAGGTCCACTTCTTTATATACTGTATACAAATGAGGTGCCCCACATTATTCAGGAACAAACAGTATTATATGCTGATGATACGACTGTGCTTTTCAGTGCAAGTGATGTCCCCTCACTCTCAACCAGAGTCCCATTGGCTGTGTCCGATTTGTCACTCTATTGGACTATCTCTCAATATATCCAAGACACAGTGTATGTTATTTAGCAATCGATACTCAATTCCCTTTATCCTCCAGCACGAGCAACAGGAAATATGTTCAGTAAATAGCGTTTCATTTCTTGGTTTAAAGATCGATAGACGTTTGGATTGGCTTCACCATAATGAAGTACTGGCATCTAAAACTTCTCAGTTCTGCTATGCGCTCAGAGTAATATCGGAGTCCGTGGGGATCGATGCTGCTATGTCAGCTTACTATGCTTTTATCTATTCCAGATTTAAGTATGGTATTATTTTTTGGGCCAACTCCACGGCGGTGGAAGGGATATTACGAATACAGAAAAAATGCTTACGTAGTATCTTCGGATTGAGTCAGCAAGAAAGCTGCAGGGAGATTTTTGTTGAACATAAGGTTCTTACAGTTGTTTCCATGTATATTTTGGAGGCTGTGGTGTTTGTCCTGGAAAACTGGAATTTATTTGGACTCCGTAGGCTCGAACATGAATATGATACTAGACACAGATTACAGCTGGTTTCGGATAAATATAATTTCAGCTATCTTCAAAAAATATAGATTACTCTCAAATAAAAATATTCAATTCCCTTCTGGAAAATTTTACCTTGTCTATGCCTAAAAACAAAGTTAAAAAATGCTTAAACATCTTTTGTGCAGAGGAGCTTTTTTATTCCCTCGCGGAATTTCTAAACAGTGATAAGAGCGCCCTGTGTCATATTTAACATCGATTGTATATTGTTGTAAAAACAACCACACCCGTATGTTTTTACTTTTGTTTTGTATCATTTGATCTAAATTTGTTATTTTTTGTAAGTATAATTTTGTGTTGTTATCTGTCTATACATACATAGATTTAATTCATTATTATTAGTATTATTTTCATAAAATATTTAATTTTAATATTACTATTTAATTTTGTTCATATAGTTAATTTTTTGTTGAAATATACAGTTATTTTCTTTTAAAAAATTTTACTGACATTGTTTCCATGCCCTTTTTTGGGTTTCTTTTTGTATTATACAATAAGGAAATAAATAAAGCATTATCTATCTATCTATCTACGTAGACGTGCCAATTTTAGACAACTCAGTGATTTTGATAGGGGTCGTATTGTAGGTTTGCGGGAGGCAGGATTATCATTTCGAGAGATTTCTGATAGGGTCCAGAGAAGTGTTTGCACTGCTGCCAATTGTTGTAGAGCTTACATTCAACAAAACCGTGAACATCGTGCCAGAGGTACAGGGCGTCTAAGATTAACCAATGAGGGTCAAGATCGCCGTTTAAGGCAGTTAGCTGTCAGAGACCGTTCGGCCACTTCCCGAGCAATTGCTAACCAATGGTTTACGGAACATGGAAGACTCATGACGATGCGAACTGTTTACCGATGAATACGGTCTTTTGGGTTGTTTTCTTTTCGGCCTCATTGGGTTTTACCATTGACCTCTGAACATCGACGACAACGTCTAGAGTGGTGCAGAGCCCGACAAGAATGGGGCGCAGAATGAAATGCTATCGTTTTTAGTGATGAGTCGCGATTTTGTTTAGGAATGCACGACGGTCGGGCGCGAGTGAGAAGATACCGTGGAGAAAGGCGGAATCCACAGTTTTTTCATGGAGAGGCCCGTAAACCAAGTTGTAGGAGTTATGGTTTGGGGAGAAATCGCATATGGTAGCAGGTCACCTCTAGTATTTGTTCGAGGTAATATGACAGCCCAACGCCATATTGTGGAAATTGTGGAAGATCATCTCTTACCATACTTACGAAGGCTCCACGATCCTATATTTTAACAAGATAATGCCCGTCCCCATGTTGTTAGATTAACTGTGAACCACTTACATAATGCCCAAGTTAATCTCCTACCCTGGCCACCAAGATCTCCAGATCTCTCACCAAGTGAACATGTATGGGATATCATGGGTAGAAGACTGACAAACTTACCGCATCCTCCTCAGACACTAGAAGCTCTTCGGCATGAGATACAGTTAGCATGAGATGAAATACCGCAAGAAGACGTAAATCATCTGATTAGTTCCATGTCCAGACGGCTCAACGAATGTATAGAACATCGAGGTGGTCCAACACATTATTAACAAGGACAAGGTAACGAGCCAATATTTTCACTCCAAATTTTGATCATTTACGCCATTTGTCAACCTACATTCATGTACAAAAGATTATTAAAATTAAACAATTTTTATGGGTGTTCTATTTTCAATGTCACTTAGTATATAAATAAAGTGTTTTTTTCCAAATTTCAGAGAAACGGTAAGGATTTTGAAAAAAAATATTTCAATAAAAGTTGTCCACTAACTTCTGGCCACCGTATCTCAGTCAATTTTGATTTGGGCAAAAAAAGTATAGAGACCATTTTTATGTAAAATTGAACGCTCATTATTTGAACTTTTTTTTCTAGTCCTTACCGTTTTTCCGAAATTTCGAAAAAATAATTTTATTTATTTATTTCACCCCTTCTCGGGGGTGAATTAAAAAAAAAACCTTTCACAATTCGTTGGCGTAGATCTTTCAAAGTAACTTATATCAAAAAGTTAAGTTTTTACCATAACTTCGTATTAGAAGGCCTATTTTCTTGGACAAAAAATAGGGTATAACTGATATTTTCTATTTATTAAATAAATTAGGCTGCTTCCCGGGCTGGAGGTTCCCAGTCACCTCCTCTGCCACCACCTCCACCTCCAGAAGACGAACACGAAGCTTTCGGACGGCCTAGAACCTCCTCTGGAGTAATGCCCATCGTTCCAGACGAGGACGATCTTCCTGGATGGGTTCCAAAGAATTATATTGAAAAAGGTAAGCAACATTGTGCCAACGAATTTTGGCAAATTTTTATTCTTGGTCAAAGTCTCTTCATCACAACAAATTGGAAATATTGTTTTTTATTCCAGTTGTCGCGATATACGATTACTATGCAGACAAAGACGACGAACTGAGTTTTCAGGAGAGTTCTGTCATTTATGTTCTGAAGAAAAACGACGACGGGTGGTGGGAAGGTGTTATGGATGGAATTACCGGACTATTCCCCGGAAATTACGTCGAACCATGCGTTTAAAATCCATCAAAATGATTATTTACTTTTACAGTGGTACCTCGGATGTCTAAACTGTTCTCTTTTTGCTTGTACTTCCTTTATATTAAAATTCCGGTATAACGGGATTTTTTGCGCAACGTGGCAACAACGGATTTAACGTTGCCAACTTGTGAACTTTATCCCTAAATTTAGGGAAATTTATTTTTGTACTTTCAAACGTCAACTTCACGCACGTAAACAGATACGAATTTTATTGCTTTCTTGATGTAATTCAATATTTTAAAATTCCCTAAATTTAGGGAAAATTTTTAATTTTAGGAAAGTTTATATAAACAACTAACTAACTCTGTAAAATTAATAGTAAAAAAATGATAAAATTGTAATAAAATTTGTCAGAGAGGCAAGAATAGGGTGCAATTTAAATGCATTTTTTGTTTTTGTCTTAAGATTATAGTAAACTACGAATTTATCTTTGGCTGGCAACACTAGATACAGTTTTGTAAATTTGGTGTTTTGTCCCTAAATTTAGGGAATAATATAAAAAATCGACAAAATCGCAGAAATAACATTGAAGTATCTTTATTTACTCTTTAAAATTCCTAGAAAAGTTACATACATTCAGAAACACCCGATTCAGCGTTGCTTGCAGATTTCTTCCTGAATTTAAAGAAAAACAATTTAGGCATCACCAGATATGGCGTTGCCAGCTTTTTTCCTAAATTTATGGAAAAACATTAAACTTTGCTTTAATTTGTTGTTATGGATAAAATGTCGAGGTACCACTGTATATTTTTATGCAATTTTAATATGTATTTGTATATAAAATTTCTTATATGTTTTTTTTTATAGAAAGCTTATATTTACAATTTAATTTCATTATAAGCCACTGAATTTATTTATATTAATTTTAATAGTCTATAGAGAAACATAAACTGAAATAAATCAATTTAAGTATATGTTAATGCTGATATTATTTAAATTTTATTAACTTTTTTCTGTACATTTTTTTACAGTAGTTTAAATGTCCATATATTATTTTTCCAGGATTATTTCGTAAATATCTTGATATAATAAAAAAGCACAAACAAAATTGCACATTTTTTTAGTAATATTGATATAACATGATGAGCTTTTTTGAGTTAGGTTAGTTATATACAGGGTGTCCAAGAAATGAATGCGTTATTACAAAGGTCTAGTTAGTCCAAATGAAAACAAAGATGGTTAAATACAGTGCAACCCAGTATTCCAAAAAAAATCCACGTCAGGTTTTCTGTTAGAGGTTTCCATTCCAACTTTTTTTTATTATATACAGGCCGATTCAAATATATTTTTATATGAATGTTGTAGAAAAAATTGGGTGTTGTATATTTTTTTGTTCAGCGGAATTTCCATCAAATTTTTATTTCAAAAATACTAATCTGTCAGAGGAAAACATGACAGTGACAGTTGTGTCTGTCATTTGAATTCAGGGGAAAGTTGTATTTTCTGTAATTTTTTGGATGTCATCTGTCGAAATTTTCCCTGGCTTCTTGGACAGACTTCTAAAATAGGAAACCTGATATGGAGCTGTTTTTTTGAACTGGCCATCCTGTATAAATCTATTGCTTTATGAATTATACAGTGATTAAAAACGACAGCATTGTCAAATTATGATTAATTACATCTAATTTTCAATCCAAAAAATGTTTAATTTGATTTTACTGTATTTATGTAATAAATTGCCTTCATAATGAAATATGTTATGTTTATATAGTACAAAGCCACTTATCTATGATGTTTTTATATATTTAGTATTAATTTTGCACCAATAATAATTGTTCTTAAGAATCAAAGCCAATTTTCTAAAAAAAGGTTAAGACTTTTATACTATACTGCTTATTTTAAAGTATGAAAGTATCATTATTGTAATAAAAAAAAATTCTTTAGATATTTACATTGGTATGCTATTGTATTAGGATTTCTATTAATGATGTCTATGGGTCATATTAAATCAATTTTATGAAATAAGTTTTTTATTTATTATATTTTAAGATATTGTGTGTTTATTTACTACCTATTTTTCATATACATGGGACATACCTACTACTGCAGAAACGTCATTTTCTCCGGGATTCTTCATGTAATATATATTTTATATACTTTATTACCTTTATATTTATAAATTTCAGCCGAAATATTAAATTGAACTTCCAAAACGAAACTAAACGGAATGAATTAATATGGCGTCGAATATTTTCTAATTGTTCTAGAACAAATCTGAAGTTGTCTCTGAAACTGAAATTTGTCAATTCTAAACACTGTGAAGTTAGACAATAGTTAGACAGAAACATTGCTGTCCTTGTCTCGGCGGCCATACTTGTCGTGAGGAGAATGACAGGAATGACACTAATGACTGTTTCCAATTTTCCTATTTCACTGTCACCCCCCTGGTTCAAGGTGTGAGTTTTCAATCATTTCTGAGTGGACTATAGGTAGGATTATTTTTTATTACTTATGATTTTGGTTAAAGAATAAAAATATATACTCGAATATTTATCATAGATTTGGATAGACTATATAAAAGTGTGTATTTATCTTATAAATGTATATTTTGTTAAAAATTTTGATTATTTAAAAAAAATAATGTGGACAACTAAAAGCATTTACCATAAATTTCCCGCAACCAGTAAAACACACGTTCGCGTTTTCCAATCAAAATAAACGCGATCAGCGGCGATCAGTCAAATTTTAGCCGTCGAGCGAGGTGATTGTGGGCAGGTGTGCGCGTGCGTTGATTCATTACGAGAAAACTACTTGTTTTTCCTTCCTGCGAGGGGAAATATGATTGAAATTTTCGTGGTTTTCCCGAAAACGAACTGGTGAAAATGCGGAGTGCATTGGGCCGTGCGTACGTAAAATGTTTTCCAAGGACTTTATAAATTCTACCACTACATCGGTCATCATCTTGTGCTGGATTTTCATAACAACATGCTTGTGGGACGGAGTAGATCCATCACCGTTACCTGTGAAACAGTTGAATAAAGGTAAAAACTTGTATGTTTACTCGTTGAATGTTTTTCGTGATTTGTGTGCGTTTTTCAGTGAATTTTCTCGATGTTTTCAAGGGTTTTCAGGTATTTTTCTATTTGTTTACATTCGTGTTTCCCTAGGAAAATGCCTTTTTTCATAGTATTTTTTTAATAAATATAGATTGTCATTAATAAAACCTTCTTCTTGTGTTGCACTAGTTGCTACATATATAATAGGATGTAAGTACGTTTATTTTAATTATTATCACTTATTTCTACTTGTGCCTATTAAATATATTTATTAGCAGAAAAAGGAAAATTACAAGTATATGCTGAAATATCTAAATATACAGGGTGATCCGTTGTTCTAAGAGAGCCCGATCTCAGGTTTTATATTTGAGATTTTCACTCCATTTTTTTTAATTAAGCGGATAATAGTTGTGCACGTTTTAATTCTTTTTGTTATTATGTATATGTTGACTCAAATTTACACTTATAATTATCAAATTTACACTTAAGTAAAGTTGTATTTCAGGATGGATATAGGCGTTGTTTAATATACACGGTGTCCCACATAAAATTGCATGAGGTGTAGAGATGATTAAATTAGGGAAAAGTTGCGCCTTACTGAACTCAACAACGTCAGGCAATGCCCTCTATAAAAGATCAGGCTACGGGCGGACTTTTGTTTACTTCATCAGCTGTACATACTTAGATATGGGGTTAGATTCTGTATTCATATTTTCTCGGTTGATTTTTGGTATTATTTCTTATTGTAGTGCAAAAAACTAATTATTTTGGTGTTTAAGTGACATAAAGTACTACCAGATATATGGTCACTATGATGGTCACTCTGTTTCTCAAAAAAAACACGAAATATTACACGTTTTGTTAAGTGCTTTAACCTAAAAGTGCCCATAAATTTTCTATTTATCGTGATTTTTGTGTGTTTTTTTAAGACTCTAACAATTCATCAATAAAGCTTAAGTGGAGTGTGTTTTTGGTGCTATGCCTCATCTTTGTTGTGTTCCTGGTGAAAAGGATAGTTATACTAGGCAGCTTAAAGTATCCGGAAGAGCAAGAAAAGTGGGTACAAGTTATAAATCAAGACAATTCTATTGAAAATATCTTTAATAAATTTAAAAATAATATTCTCCCAGGATGGTATTAAAGAAAACTGGACAATTATGTTTATTTTATTCATATTGTGGAATCTCCACTCCAAGTGTTGTTGGTTCAGCTTCGATAGATTCAAACACGTAAGTAGGTATTATGATCTAGGGAAAAATAAAGAATATGTATATTAAAGATCATGAAAAAGATTATTATTTTGAGTTCAAAATTAAAAAAGATTTTGTAAAGACATGAATGATAAAGTTTAAAAGAAGAATGTGTTTTTGTTTGATAATATAATGTATGTAAAGCATAACATATATTTGTTCAGTAATTTTTACTGAATAGTGTTGATTATTTATAATACCAAATTAATATCAAATATTTAAGTGATGGCTGAATACAATATGAATAAAATAACAATAAAATTGGTATATCTGCAATACAAAATTAAGTTTTAAGAATAAAGGTGTTACTAAAAATACTAAGAAATTCATATTTCTTTGTTTTAATTGGTCGAATGTTATTTAAATTTTATGTAAGAATTATACCGTATCATCGAAAAAAATCGGCGTCTAGTTGGCTTGGAAATGAACATCGATGACATTCCCTAAATAATTGTACACATTAAATAATTAATTAGAATTTTACAATCTTGGAAAATTTGATATTCTTGAACCTTGTTTCTAAATATTCTAAATATTTTTATTTTCTTGGGATTTAGGTTCGGAAAAAACGCTGATTAAGTTTTCATTTGGTTTTTCATTAGTTTTATTTGGTTTAAAAAAAACGTTTTGGCTAACATTATAGCCTTCATCAGTGTTGTGTCATAGGAAAAAAATAGTGTCGAATATAATCCAAAAAATTACATATAAAATTCACACCACGCACCACATAATGTTTACTGCGTACTCCATAGTCAATGTAGATAGTTTTAGTGTTAAGAATAATAATTCTAAAAAATATGTGGTCATCTTTTGATAAGTTTATATTAGTTTATTAATTGCAGTAAACATTATTTGGTGTGAATATTTTATATGTAATTTTTTGGATTATATTCGGCACTATTTTTTTCATATGACACAACACTGATGAAGACTATAGTTAGCCGAAACGTTTTTTTTAAACCAAATAAAAATAATGAAAACCCAAATGAAAACTTTAATCAGCGTTTTTCCCGAGCCTAAAAATCCCAAGAAAATCAAAAATTTTAGAATAATTTTACACATAAAATGCCAGGGATCTTCATTTCATAGCCATCGCTGACGCCTTTTTTTAGATGATATTGTATTATTTGTAAATATAATTTTTCGAACATTGATACTTGCAAAATATACATATAAATTTTGTGAATGCAAATAATACATCACTATTAGTAGATATTGAATGTTTTTTGTTAAATTAGATCGATTTTCAAACCCCAAAATTTAAAATATATTTACATTTTACCCAATATCTTATGTAATACATTATTTGTAAATTGTGAAACATTTGCTGCATTTGTATGGTTCATAGTTTATTTGCCAAAGTATTTATTACTATAAATAGGTATATATGTTGTAGTTATTAACTGTATATTATGTATATTTCATGTAAACTATATCATTTTTAAAATACAAACCAAAAATCTGAGGAATAATTATGTTTTCCATGTATTCTACAACATATTTATTAATCCGTAGTATCTAACTAGCGTGACGTCATAAATCTCGCCCCAAGGCTGTTCTATTAGAGACGGCATTGCGTCAGGTTTCGAAATCTAAAAAAATCCTATTTTTTTAAAACATTTATTTCAGTTGTAGTAAAAGCACAGATTAGGTATCCTATAAGTATGCAGATAAAAATCTTGTCCCTAATTCGTGGTACGAAAATTGTTTTTTATGACGATTTGCAAACGAGTCAAATTTCCTGTGCGCAAAAATAAACTCGCGTAAAATAACAATAAACAGCGTAATAGAGAGATATCGCTAAACCGAATAGCGTGCATGGACGTTAATAAGGCCAGGTGTTATTTCCTTTACGTGAGGCGGTATTAACTGTATTAACTCTCTTCATTTATAGTTATCGGATCGAAAAGAATTCTGATCGCGTCGCATCTGCTATTTAAACTTAACCTAACTTTGAATTTAAAACTTTGAAATTGTTTTGTTTACTAGGTATTTTAAAACTAAAGGGCTAAAGTGCTTATTTCCAGTGCTTTATTGTTCAACGTCTGCCAGTGGGTTTAGGGTAACAAGCAACAAATTCTCTTAGAAGGGCTAAGTCGTCATCTGCTGTAAACCTAAGACTCTTTATAGGTTCTTTAGTATTGGAAGAGGCGGAATCCATAGTTTGGGCCATATTTATTTAATTAAAACTAATCCCAGCTACTTAAATATCAAATTACCTAATAAAACTAAAGCAATAATTCAAAACAATTCAAATATAACCTAAAATAAAAGATCTCGCCGGCCGGCTCCGGTTGTCAAATACCCGCACATGCCCATTTAAGCAATTTTTAAACGTTATCAGAAGTTATTTAGAAAGAGCGCTTGGTGTAATTGATCTGCAAATTACGTCAGGCGGTAACGTTATTAGCGGGTGTTGCGTTGACTCGCGCATATCGTAACCATGATAAGGTACGCGTAAATACTGGATGACGCTATTCGGTTTTCCGATATCTCTCTAATAACTGTGCCGGTCAGGCGCTGTGAACAATTTTAGAGGCCATAAGTGGGCGTGCTATGTGCGCAAACTAGTCACCTAACTAGTGCCCCATTTCGGTAAAAAAGTAAAATACTTGATCACAATAACAAAGCTTAGAACAAAGCACAGCAGTGGCGTATCTAGAGATAGAAAATAAACTTGGAGTGGTCTGGATGGATTTTATATGGATTTTATATTTTGATTCTTATTATTAATTTCTTTAGTATATAACATAAATTAGGATTGATTGACATATTCACTTGTTTTTGGTCACTTCCTGTTTTACCGGAAATGACTACAACTTTTGATTTTTATGACACCCTTGGTATGTTTTTACATTATTCGATAGAAAATGACACTCTGAATAGAATGACATATCATAAATATGTCAATTTTTGACATTTTCGCGTATGGTTTATTTGAAATTGTAACATGCGGTTCATAATGTCAATTTGACTCGAAATACCAAGTGTGTGGTATCAAATTATTCGTAAAAAAATGCTTTTTCCAAATGTGCTAATGAGCCACCCTAGTTGCATTAAAAAAATTGAGATATGATTAAAAAATCGACTCGAAATCGAGTTAAAAATATTGATTTTATCGAGGATTTTATTCAGTATTGTTCTTCCACAAGGTTGTGGATGACTTATTCAATAATAATTAGGAAGTAAAGGTATTAAAAACAATCTCTTTAATTCTATTTATAGAATTGTCTATTGAGTGAAATAAATAACATCTACGAAAGTTTTCTATAGCTTATTTTTTTTAAGGTTTTATTTCTCTGATTTGCTGTAGACCTTGAATTGTCTATATACAGATGATTTTTTTATAGTAGAATATTAACATTTTTCAGATAGATACTCTTTGTGCTGTGGTCTATACATCTTTCTGAAACATTTTCAAAAAAAGCCTCTGTCCACTATAATTTATACCATACGATCGAAAAAAAAAACTGCGTCAAATACGGCTGGGGAATGGCAATTGATGATAATTTTGGCGAGGTCAAACCCTAAACGTCATTACTTGACCCGTATTGTTTTTTTTTATTTTTCTATAATTCGTGTTAATTTTATGTCAATTTTTAGTAAATGATCATTTAATTCAATTAATTCATCAAATTTGAATTGATCATTCCCCAACTGTCTTTGACGCCGTTTTTTTTTCGTACGATACTTTATATGGACGATATTATTTGTGAAAGCAACAAGAAAATTAGA